GCTCCCCTGCCCCCAGGCTCAGAGTCCCCAGAGCCAATGGCATGGACTCAGAGATGGTAGGGAGGGGCCTGTGTCCCAGGCAACACAGGTCACATGCACCCTGGAAGGGCTCATGGGACCCCACAGCCACCCCAGCCCCATCTGCCCCAACTCTGATCCTGCCTGGGCCACAGCCCCCAGCTTCAGGAGGGGGCGCACTGTACAGCAATCTGGGAAGTGAATTGGATCTTGCTGCCAGCTCCTCCACGAAGTGCTGTGTTATGGGGGTGCTATGGCTTGTGTCTAGCTGTCCACCCCAAAGCCTCATGCTTTTTCTGAAGTGCTGAATGTAGAGCGTGTTCTAGGTGCTGGGGTTCAGGGCGTCTCACCATAAAAGTGAGTGGTTTGGCACGGCCCTAGTCCTGGTGGTCTGGATGGGATGAAAGGGGCAGAAAGACACTGTTAAGGCCGCTTGTTGCTTCTACTACCACGTGAGTGCATCTGTTTCTCCTCTGGGACAGTCCCCTGCCCTGGAGCCTCAGACTATGGACTTAAACCTCTACAAACTGTGAGCTAAAAAACCTTGTTCCTTTTAACTTTGGGTGTCGGATATTTTGTCTTGGCACTAAGAGCAAATAACCTATCCAGGGTGTCTGGACTCGCAGGAGTGAATTCTGACACCCTGTCTACACTGTGGGCGCAGGATCCAGGGCTCCACTACCCTCCCTGCCGGTCCCCATCCATGGGGGATGAGTCCAGCCCTGCTGGGGACTGGGGACACCCAGCATATTGTCAGGAAGGCCTGCAGGGTCCCCGGATGAACCAGTGGGACTGAGCCCCCAAGTGTCCGGGCTGGGGCTCCCTGGGCCTGTGGGGAGACAGCAGGGCGGCCGAGTTCCTGTAGCCTTTCCGGCACTGGCAGTGCTGGTGCCTGCGAGCTGGACAAAGTCCCCAAGTTGGATGGTCATTGTGGTTGGGGTTGCCTTCACCTCTGTGTCACTTCCTTTTTTAGCTCTAGCCTGGCCTTGCCTGGGCTCTGGGTTCCACTGCTGTGGGACACCCAGGCAGGGCTCCCGGATATTTGTCACCTCGAGGGGGCTGTGACGTCACCCGTCCTGAAGAGGGACATTCCCAGGGGACAAGCAGGGTGAGGTGGGGCTACCTCAGCACCTCCCTCTGCCCACGGGGTGGGTGGCCATAGTGTCCAGCCACTCAGGGACACAGAACTTCTGTTTCTACAGTGCAGACCACCTTTCCGTACTGAGCTCACATCCTCTGCCTTGCCGAACATGTTTATTAGTGCTAATCACTTCTTAGTGGATTCTGTGGAATTTTCTCTCTATAAAATCATCTAAACTGAGCATGGTGGTGCATGCCCACTATGCCAGCACTCTGGGAGGCTGAGGCAGGGTGATTACAAATTCAAGTCCGGCCTGAGCAACTGATTTAGTAAGACCCCCCCAGTCTCAAAATAAAAAACAAAAAAGGCCTTGGGTGTAGCTCAGTGCAGCGACCCTGGGTTCAATCCCCAGTACTATAAACAAAACCAGAAAATCAAAGCTGTGAATGCTTTCTCTCCTTATTCCATCCTTCCCCTCCAGTTTGGATACTTTCTTTTTACTACACCATTACATGGCCAGCACCTCCAGTGTGGGGCTAGGTGAGAGCAGACACCCTGGCCTAGCTGTGTGTGGGGAGAAAGCGTCCGTCAGTCTATCTGCCCCACTGTCGGCCAGGGCCGGGCAGTTCTGTCCCAGGCTGCTTTTACGGAAGACTCTGGGCTTTGGGCAAATGCTGTCCTGCATGTCTTGGGATGCTCGTTGGGTTCTGTTTGTTATCTTATTGGGGTGGTGGGTGGCGTTAATTGTATTTGACTATTAAACTGACCTTGAGTTGCTGGGATAAATCCCACTTGGACATGGAGAATCCTTTTTCTTTCTTTCTTTTTTTGTGCCAGGGCTCAAACTCAGAACCTTGCACTTGTGCATTAGGCGCACTGCCACTGAGCTACATCCCCGGCTGGAGAATCTTTTCTGTGTTGCTAGATTCAGTATAGACTTTTATTGAGGATGTTTGTGTTTATATCCACAAAGGACTTTAAAAAGTTTGTTTTTACTTGCACATGTTTGTAGTAATAAGGATTACCATCATCACAGGAAGTTAGTACGTATCCACAATATCAGCAGAAACCACAGGTAGGTGAGCTTCGGGGCAGACTTGTCAGGGACCGCCTGGCGTAAGAGCAGACTGGGCTCTCAGGAGGGCTCCCGGGTCTTCATAGGATTGAGTGCTATGGGGTGCTCTGAAGGAAAAGGTCAGGAGAGGGGAGAGGTCAGTGGAGAGAAGCTGCGCTCCCCACCAGGCCGCGGCTTGGGAAGGGGCAGCTGCTGCCTGAAGCAGGGCTGAGGGATTGGGGACTTGGGATGCAGAATGGTCATTTGGCCTCACTAACTGTGGCTGCATCTTCAGCAGGAGGAAAAGCACAGCGGTGGAACAGGCTAGAGGTGGACTTCTTCACATAGCACATTTTCTTCGTTTTTATGTCCCCTTTCCCCTCCCCTCCCTCACTCCTCCCTCATCTCCCACCCCCTTTCTGTTTGAGAAAGATCTACCATCATACTTCTTCCTTTCTTGTGCTGTCTTTCTGGTTTGGGATGGGGTGATGTTGAGCTCCCTCTTCTGTCCCTGGAAGAGTCTGTGAGGCGTGGTGTTGAAGTGGGTGGGCTGGAAACTGGACTGAGGCGCAGAGGCTGGGTCTTGCCGGCCTGGGTGCCAGGCTGGGGTGTGGCTGGCACAGGCTGGGAGGGTGGAGGGCGGCAGAGAAGCCAGGGGCTGAGGCGGGAGGGCTGTGAGGAGGCCCCCGCGGGACCGGTGCCGGCTGGAGAGCGTCCCCCAGGAAGGCAGGGTGGCTGGAAGGAGGAGGTGGCCTAGGGGGTTGGAGAAACGCAGGGCGGCA